AAGAAACATGAAAATTTATCTAGATTATTTTTAAAATATATACTAATAACCATTTCTCATTTAAAATTCAAGATAAAAAAATTTGGTTTGGGCTAAATCAACAAGCGGATAAACCTATCTATCCGAACCGGTCATGACCCACGATCTCTCTTCCTGTTATTTCGGACAGAACAGCCCCATCTCCTTCTCATTCTCACGAACCACCGCCCATCTCCCATGCAGTTCGCGAACTGCTCCTCTCCCGCTCATTCACATAGAGAAAACGTCTCCCAGAACCGAACCCCCAGCCCGTCGTTTCTCCTAATTCGCAAACCCGTTACTTCCCTGTGCCGCAAGAAGCCAAAGCCCAACCTAAACCCATTCGCAAGAACCGACCGCACCTCCATCTCACGGGTCTCCCACGACGATCTCTGGTCTTAGCTCTAGCCGACGCAAGCAATCTTCTCAATCTTGGGTATATTTTCTACATCTTCATCTTCTTTCTCTTCTTTTTTTAGTAATTTTGATGATAAAAATGATTTGAGAAAAGTTTATTGGTATTCTTTCAGAAGGAGAAGAAAAATATGCAAGATTGAAAATAGAGAGATGTTTCTTTCTCTTCCAAAATAGCTTTCTCTTGCCTCTAATAGCTATATATTTTCATTATCGTCTTTAGGATCTTGTTGATAATGAAGATAATGATTTTTGCTTTTATTTAATATAGGAATGGTGATTAGTTTTCCCATTTCAATTTGATGAATATGTGATTTAAGATTTTCCATTTTTTTATTAATATAGTTTTCCTTCAATTAATGAGTAAAGTTGAATTTCTATGTTCTAATGATTAAGCATTTATGAAAATTTTATAAAGTTGTATTATGATTATCAAAGAGTATCTCGAATTGGTTAGAGGATAACATGGAGATCTTTTATATTTTTTTTTTTTTTTGTACATTTGTAGTTTAGCGCGATGAAGGTTCATCTAAATGGTTGGCAATGTTTCAATTTTTTTTTTTAAAGTAAAATATTGTGTATGTATTTGAAAAGTAGTTTATATGTATGAGAAATGTATATACTTATTTTAAAAATGTATTTTGTGTTTCTTTGGGAGATGGCATGTGTAAGTCTGAAAATATGTCTTTAAAAGTGAAATTCAAAATATATAACAAAATGGGAAATGACGATGTGGAGTTTGCATGTGTTTTGGAAAACAAAATGAAATGTTTTGTGAAAGGTGAATAGGGTATATCATGAAAAAGTGAAAGTGTATGTCTTTGGAAATTAACATGTGCATGCTTTGGAATGGTGAAAAAAAAAAGTGAAAGTGTATGTCTAAGTATGGAAAGTAAAGTGATTCGTATGTATATGTAAAAGTAGAACTTGTGCGAGTTTTGGAGGTGGAAATTATGTATGTAAAAGGTATAGTGAGGAAAGTAAAATAGTGGATTTTAAAAGTGATTTGTGTATGTATAAGTTGGAAAGTAAAGCGGTTGTCTTTTTGGGAAATTTTTGAACGGCAAGTGCATGAAATTGAAAAGTAAAGTTTGGATTGTAAAAATAATGTGTGTGTATGTGATGAGTAATAAGAATGTGTATTTTGGAGAAGTTAAGTAAATATAAAAAAAAATATAGTATGATATTTTTGGGAAGGCAAAGTGAATGAATCTTGTAATGTGTATGTGAGTGAACTTGTGTGTTTTGGAATAGTGGAAATTGTATATATGAAAAGTAAGGTGTAGTGTGTGCTCTTTGAATGGTGAAGTGTGCATTTTGAAAGGTGAAAATGTATAGCATAAATGTATTGTGTGAGAAAGGTAAAAGTAAAGTCTTTGCTTTTTGAAAGGTATAGTATTTTGATGTTTATGTATGTTTAAGGTTGAAAGTGTGTGTTTTTGGAATGTGTGTCGGGAAGTGCGTCAAGTTTGACTTGAAAAGTGAAATTGTTGGCATTAATAAGAAAAGTATTTTGAGAAGTGTATCGAAAGGAGAGAGTGTATGTTAGAAAGGTTTTGTGTGAAGATTGTGAAAATTAAAGTGTTTGATTTTATAAAGAAAAGTGATTTGCATTTGTGTATAAAAGTGAAACTTGTGTGAATTTTGGAAAGGGAGATGAAGAGTAGTTTGTGTTAGAGAGTGAGTTAGTTGGAAACTTACTAGAAAATGGAAGTATTGAAAAACAAAAGCCCTCTATTTCTCTCTCTACCCCACTTTTTCTCCTCTTTTTACTCCCCCTTTCTCGTGCCTCGGGATAAATGTTGGAAAAGTACAAAGTGTGCTTTCAAAAAGGAAAAGTTTAAAAGACAAGCAACAAACTGGTGTCCAAGTCCGAAGAAAGGGACGCTTTTATTTTTAGTAAATTTTAATTATTAATTATTAAATGTGCTTCTAATCTCTGTTTTCTCTTCTTTATTTGCATGAACTGCGAGGAATGATATCGGTCGAGTGAACAAAAGTACAAGGGACTAAAGGAGTCAGTCGCCCTCATTTCTTTCAATTGGGGGTGCTACGGCCGGAACCACCGTTGACTTGCAACAGTGAGGTGAGCATTCTTAACTTTTGAAAGCCCAAGCACTAAATTCTTTTAGTATGTATGTCTTTTCCCTTTCCATCATCTCTCTTGTAAGCAAACATATAGTTAATTGTGGCATCCTAAGTTAGATAACATAGACATAGGTTCATTGTACATAGGCATGTGCACGTCTTATTTATTAGCCTAGGATTTAGATCCCCAACCCCTTAGCCTACGAGGTCCCCTTGGATGAGATAACATATGGTTGCTAACAAGGAACCTCTTGTCGGCTAAGGACATCGACGAACCTGGGATGATGAAAAACCATGAGATCTTGATCGGGGATGTTATGCCCACTGGTAGGTTAGTCTCCACCCTCACCTCCTGGGCATTCGTCTGATATGGTGATTGGGGATATAAGTCCCAACTTTTTAATAAAATATCAACTTAAATAAAATAAATCTCTTCCCAAAATATTAAAGCTCAATTATAGGATAGGTCGAAGCACTTCTGAGCGGTCTTAGAATCCTAGTGCTCCATACTATTCCACTTTTGACTCCAGAAAAAATTGTTCAACTTTAACACAATCCCATTTAAAATTCAAACATCATCTAATCCTTGTCATAAATTTTGAAATCCTAAAAATATTTGACATTACTTTAATCAAGAGTATTCTTGAGGGATTCACTTCTCCCGGGATATAATTAATCATAGGGGTTTGTCGTTATGAGAAACCTATAACTCCATATTAAAATAAACCCTATATTATTTTCATAATATATGGAAAAAATTCTAAAAAAAGTAGACAATTTTTCAAAACCCATTTTTGTATATGAATATCTTTGCAGAATAACATTTTCACCTTTTTAAGGTGATATGATATGATCATTGTTATTTTTAATAATAAAAATGCAAAATTAATCTCACTTTCATCTTTCAAATACTATCTTAAAATGACATTTCTGTCTTTCGAGACAGTATGTTATTCTTTTATTTGTATTTGATTACGAAAGTGAAAGATTTTTAAAACCATATTTTTGTATATAAATCCATTATAGAATATAGTTTTTATCCTTTGACATATTACGTTATTCTCAATATCGTTTTCGATCACAAAAATAGGAATACCCCAAATTTATGTGAGGCTTTTCAAGATTTTATTTTCCCATTGTGCCTTGATAATTTTTAAATTGAATGATCTTTAGATTCATTTGTTTTATCTCATAAAGAAGCTCATTTTGACAATAAATATGTAAGATTCCAAAATAATTTTGTTCATGAAAATAATATTATGAAGCATGATTTAGGATTAATAGGATTTGGTTGATGAACTTTTGTTTAATTGGATT